AAAGCATCATCTATAAGAATGGAGACTATTTCATTTAATAAATTTTTTGTTTTGATATATAACTTGTTTTGGTTTTTTCATCTCAAAAAGGCAACATTAATTTCTTGACGACCTAATAGTTACTAGCTCTATTATCCATTATTGATTTATTTTTGAATAAAAAATTATATAAATAGGGTTTTAAAATGGATTTAACAAAGTTTCAGACTGAATTTTATGCAATCAGTCTCATGTTTGTAAAATCTACAAGAGCTGCAAATCATTCTCCTTAAAATGTGTTTGTGAGAATGATTACTCTCATCATAACTATAAAAGTATGGAAGTTGTTGTATTAACTGAATGTCATTTCAACTGCTGGGCCTTTTTGTGCAAAATTCTACAAACCTAACAATACCTGAAATCAAGATATAGATATGCATCTTCATGATCTAGGTATACAAAATTATTTTGATCAAGATATAAAGAACATTTTAAAGGATACATTACTAAATTAAAATATAAGTCTATTGTACATGATTTGTAAAATGGTAAATAACCTGGTTGTGATAGAAAACCAAGTGAATTTTGCTCATTTTGGAACAAAATAAAGTATATATTTGTGGACATGGTAAATCGATCTATTGAAAATGAGTAAATATTTGATGTAATGAAACAGTACTTAATTACATTGATTTAGTAAAAGTAGGTTATCAAACTAAACTCAAAAACTGCAGACCAGTTAGCCTAACAAATATAGATTTTAACCTCCTTACTAAGGGCCTGGGTCTTTTGCACATGTCAAGACATTTCACAGAGTAACATTCAAACTTTAAACAAGTTTATTATCAATGTATGTCGATGAAATTAGCATCAGAATGTAATTTATAATTTAAATTTTTATATTATTAAACCTTTAGTTTATTAATATCAAAATGAAATTTTCAAAACAATTCTCTCTATTTATTTCTGTGTGTGTGTGTCACCTGATGGATCTGCATTTTAATTTCTCTTTTAATTTGAATAACTGCAATACTATAACAACTACACTGTGTGACTTATCCTAGTTATGATGTGTTTGTGGGAGTGTATATATATATTCCAAGGTCAAGTGTGTAGTTTCAAGAAGCACACTTATTCTTGTGGTGAGAAATATGCTTCTTTCTGATATACATATTTATAGCCAAATAGCTTGTCTTAAACTTTAAGCCTTCAGTAATCTTTTTTTTTTATTATTGTCAACAATTGTTAAGGCAGTAGAGGATTTTATTAGGTACCTATTGCTACATGGGTCAATACTCGTAGCATTTTCTTTTTACATTAAATAGCTTAGTTAGAAAACCAACTGAATTATAGTTATTTTTGGATGTTTGATTTAGTGATTTATGTATTATGTATAATTTAAAATGTGTTTTAATTTTCTGTCCACAAAGACATGGGGAAACAAACATTAGGATTAGGCAAGTACAAATGCATGAATCCAAAGCTGCACAT